TCCCACCTCCACACCCTCCCCCCAGCCCCCACTTCCATCATCACATCTCCTTCTCTGACTCCAACCTTCCCACCCCCCACCCATAAGGACCCTTGTGATTACATTACATGGGCCCACTTGGACAACCTAAGATTATCTCCCCATCTCGAGATCCTTAACCTAATGACACATCCAAAGCCCCCATTGCCATGTAAGGTGATGTATTCACAGGTTCCAGAGACTAGGATATGGATATCTTTAGAAGGTCATTACCCGGATTCCCACAGTTGTACAGAGCTATACTAACACTGATGGGCGTGTCATAGAGGCTGGTCTCCCTGATGGCAGGGAGGGACCTCAGTGTGGCTATTCTGCAGTTCCCTGAGCCACTCCTTTCAACATACAACAGACCTTGCCAAGTTGGGGCTGTCCCATTCTGACCCACTTTGTTGGCAGAATCTTACTCTGAGGAGCTATTAGTTCATTTGGGGTTCACCACAACAAAGTCCCTTCCACCCCCACCCCAACGTCCTGGGGAACCAGGATTCATTCATTCATTCATTCAACTCCCAGTGACGTTTATTCTATTTATTCCGCTTGTGAACAGAGTAGCCCATGAAAACCCAAGGGCCTTTGTCTTCTAAGGATTTCTCTTTTTTTTTTTTAAGATTTTATTTATTTATTTATTTGACAGAGAGAGGGAGGGATCACAAGTAGGCAGAGAGGCAGGCAGAGGGGGAGGAGGAAGCAGGCTCCCTACTGAGCAGAGAGCCCGATGCAGGGCTCGATCCCAGGACCCTGAGATCATGACCTGAGCCGAAGGCAGAGGCTTAACCCACTGAGCCACTCAGGCGCCCCTGTCTTCTAAGGATTTCTAACAAACTGCAAATACAAATAAATCTATAGAAAGACACAAACCATGGCATCATAAAACCTCTATGACCCATTGAGCCTGCACGAATCAGGCATAATTCTAAGAGCTTTACGCGTGGTACATACTACCTCATTTAACATACTTCATATTGACCTTATGAGGCACATACTATCATCATTCCCATTTTACAGATGAAGAAGAGGAGTCATGGGACATTAAAGAACACATCCAAGTCTGCCAGCTAGGAAGTAGTAGATTAGAGTTGTGAACGTAGGCCAGTCTGATTCTACGGCCTATGTACTAATCTACTGAGACTTCATAAATGGTAAATTCCCTCAATAGGTTTGAGCCAAGAAAGCTGGAGCGTCAGAGGTCTGTGTTCATGGCCCACCAGATAGATGGCTAGGGCCGCACAGGCAGGTCCCAGCTAGGCTGGCAGTCACCTCCACTCTCAATGCCTCTCCCCTCCCCTGTCTCCTATTGGCAAGGAATCCCTTCAAGACCAGCATGGAGAAATGAGTTTCTTGGCCTCTGTTAGGTCGTGTGAACCCTTTGGGAATTGGAAAGAAGAGATAGTAATCACTTTGCCTGGAAAATGCATTTTATGCACATAATATCACAGAGGATTCTACTCAAAAGAAAATTGCTGGCTGAGAAGGACACAGCCTCGATTCTGTGTCTTCCTGCCAAAAATGTAGAACCTGGATCTCACAATGGAGAAACATCAGACAAGCCTCAGTGAGGGTTGTTCTATAAAATAAGTAGCCTGTACTCTTTAGAAATGTCAAGGTCATGAAGGACACAGATGGACTGAAGAACTGTCACAGATCAAAGGAAACCCAAGAGATGAAAATAAAGGCAACATGTAACCTGAAACTGGGTCCTGGACCAGAAACAAATTGTTTCTTTTGCTCTCAAGAACATTAGTGGAACAACTGGTGAAATTCAAATTAGGCTGTGGATTAGATGACACAGAGATAACACAGAGGAAGAGAAACAAACAGAGAGACAGCTACAGAGCAAACAAGGTAAAACGTTCAATATTTGGGGAATCTGAGAAAAGGACATTCAGGAACTCTTTGTACTATTTTTTGCAACTTTTCTGTAAATCTGAAATTATTTGAACATTTTAAAACATATTTTTAGAGATTTTGACATCTAGAGTCACAGTGCTTCATTATGTAGTGAATGAGAATTGCCTTAACCAGCAGCACATCTGAGCTCTGCACACCCTACGTGTCTACAGAAAAGGCTGAGAAGTGTTCTCATGAGACAATTAGCAGAGCAAGACGGCAAGAAATTCCTAAACCAGAATTAGTATCTGGTTACATGCTCAGAGGTCAGGAGCCCAGGCTGTTCACCTCCAGCATTCTGTGACCTTAGGCAAGCTATATAATATAGAAGCTCTCTGTGCCTCAACTGGTTCACCTGTAAAACTGACATAATTACAGTACTTACCAGGGTGCCTGGGTGGCTCAGTGGGTTAAAACCTCCACCTTCGGCTCACGTCATGATCCCAGAGTCCTGGGATCGAGCCCTGCATCAGTCTCTCTGCTCAGTGGGGGGCCTGCTTCCCCTTCTCTCTTTGCCTGCCTCTCTGCCTACTTGTGATCTCTGTCTGTCAAATAAATAAATAAAATCTTTAAAAAAAAAGTATTAAAAAAAAACAGTACTTACCAAGGAGACCATCTATATGACATTAGCAAAGGGAAGGAATTCTTTCGTTTTTTAAGACTTTATTTATTTATTTGACAGGGAGACAGAGGGAGAGGGAACACAAGCAGGGGGAGTGGGAGAGGGAGAAGCAGGCTTCCCACTGAGCTGGGAGCCCAATGCGGGGCTCAATCCCAGGACCCTGGGATCATGACCTGAGCCAAAGGCAGACGCTTAACTGACTGAGCCACCCGGGTGCCCCAAGGGAAGGAATTCGTAAACAAGACATAGAATACCACAAATTATAAAGGGGAAGGTTGAAACATATGACTCCATTAAACTGTAAAACTTGTGAATGACAAGATACCATTAACAAAGTAAGATGACAAACCACAGAGAGAAGACCGAACCCTAACATGAGATCGGTATCCAGAATAGATAAACAACTCCTATGGATCAATAAGAAAAACAGAAATAAACCCAGTGCGAAATGGTCTAGAAATACCAACAAGCAGTTCATAAAGGAAGAAACTCAGGAAAAACTTGGATAAGAAAATACGCTCGATATCACTAAATTCAGGAGAATTCAAACTAAAACAACAAAAATATTTTTGCATACCTAGAGTCATAAGCAAAAAATAAGTAAATGAATAAAATCCAAAAATATCCAAAGTTGATAAGGGTATCTAGAAAGGGTACTTATACATTGCAGGCAGAACCATGCATTAATACACCACACATACTTCTCTGAAGAGCAGTCTGGCTAACCCTCCTAGAGTCTGAGATGTGATACATACTACAGAGTCAGCAAATCTACTCCTAAGTGTGTGTCCTTGATGTACCCAAAGAGATAGGTACTAATGTGTTCAGAGCCAGCACACTTTCAGCCGAAAGAAAATCTAACCATTCCTTAGTACAGATACACAAACTGTGGCAGATTCATACAAAATAATACTACACAGCAAATAAAATGAATACATTACAGCAGTAGTCCTCAGACTTTAGGATGCATCAGAATCACCAAGGAGGGCTTGGGAAAGGACAAATGCCTGGGTCCTACCCTCAGAGTTTCTAATTCAATGAGTCTTGTGTAGGACTGAAATTCTGCATTTCTAACAAGTTCTCAGGTGTTACTGATGCTGCTTGCTGGTCTAGGGACCACAGAAGTAGTTGTAAGTTTCAACACAGTTAAATTTTGCAAACCTAGCAGAGTTAAAAAGATAAAAGTTTGAAATGTTAAGGAATTGTTGAAGTTCAAATTATATAGCATCTATCTCGTGGATGGGCGTGAATAACAACTGATATAATGTGAAATGTTCTGGATGGGAAAAGATAGGAAGATGAAGTTGGGCCACAAAATCTCTGTCTCTGTATATCTCACCAGAAAAATAATAATAGTAAAAATAAGTTAAAGGATATCAGAAAATTAAAAGAATTAATCAACTCAACCAAAAAATGGAAAAGCATACAATTTTATGGCATAAACATCAAAAAGGGCTAACACAGGAAAGAAGCAGAAGATTCTGAACTGAGTCCAGTGTGGTTCTTCACCTACGCACAAAAGGATACCAGGGAAGCAGGTGAATCTATAAAATCCGGAGACTTCTCACCTAGAGTGAGTGAACAACATAGGAAAAATAGAGAAAAAAATAATAATCCCTGGGCGTAGATGTCCCTATCTGCTCTGGGAGCTCTCAGCAGAGGTGGGAAATCCCAGGTGCCATGATGAATTATGAATTATTAAGGACCCAAAGATGACGCATATCTGTCCAAAGGCGTCAGGCATACCCTGCACTCATCACAGGTGAGACTAACGAGACAATACTGTGTGTCTCTGTTTCTTTCCTTCAAATATTTACCTGTTTGTAATTACACACTCAGCTGTGATTATTCCCTAATTCTCTCTCTCTACTAGAAAGTAATCTCAAAGACAGCAGAGATGGGTCTCCATTTGCTCATGACAGTGTTTCAAAAGTAGGTGTCTAATAAATCATAGGGCCACCTAGTAGGTGTGTAATAAACATTCAGTGAGCAAATGAGTGAAGGGGTGAGCAAATGAATGGTTGTCAAAGAAATCTGACTTCCCATAGCATTCCAATTCCACAGCCACCATTTTTCCTTGGCATGCACTATTCACAAAGAGAAAAACTAGACCCCAGCGGGGTCTGAGACAATTCCTAACTAATAAAAAAGCCTACCTGGTTCATATAGCGATAGCTGTGATTAATGAAGTGTATTTACAATTGTGTGAACAAATTCCATCCCTCTGACAAATTATTCTAGAAAAAAATTAACAATACAGCATTTTGCATGCTTCATAGTCAACAATTACATTCTGCGGTATTTATTTTTGACATTGAATAAATATTCCAGGAAGAAATAACTCAAAAAGAACCTGTAACTAATATCAACAGAAGCCTTTTGCCCCTTGTCAGCAAAACTAATAGGGTACACAGCCTATTTAAATGTAAATTTAAATAAAGCGTTTTTCTACCTCTCTGCTTTCTTTGTTCCTTGGGATTCGGAGGTAACGGGAATACATATACTATTCTCCAACACACACATCCAAAGGTGTTTTGTTTTTTGTTGTGTTTTATGAAAAACGAAACCAAAGTGTTTTAGGATTTAAATGATCTATTTCCACAGTTAGAATGGGAGAAAAGGCGCTCCGAATATCAGAAAGGCGAAGCCTTTGGGGTCGGAGGACCAAGCCTGGACCCATCCTTAGCCTTGGAGCCGTTACTAGGCAACCCCTAGCGTTCTCAACGGCCGCCAGGAGCCACTTCCCCGCCCTGATTGCTAAGGAGATCGACGCCCAACTCAGCCCTGCCGTAAACCCACGCGCTCTTGCGACATTGCCGCGCCTGCCGCTGCGTGCGCGCCCTCTGCCCCCACTCTCCGCCCCGGCCGCCATTGCCTCGTGCCCGCGCCGGTCGGTTGGTGGCGCCTTTGTCCTACGGCGGGCAGGTGGGCTGAGGTGGAGGCGGCAGGGGCGGGCCTGAGGCGAAGGAGCGGCCGGGAGCCCGCCGCGCTGGTAGCGGTGAGTGCCGGGAAGCGGTGGCCGTCCGCCGAGGCGTGGGGCTCACGGCAGGCGGTTGAGGGGCCCGGGCCGGATGGGGAGGCTGAGGCGGGAGGGCCCGCTCGACGCGCGACCGCGGCCTCGGCTCCTCTCCGGGTGCGCGCGGAGCTGCGCATGCCCGGTGCGGGGCGCGGCCTCTGGCTCCCGTCAAGCCCAGGCCGGGACAGCCGGGGCGGCCGGTGGTGGGCTCGGGTCCGGGCGGCGCCGCACCGCGGCCGCCTGTTTGTGCGCGAACCGCCGACAGTAGTCCTCCGAGCTTGTCTGTAGGATAGGCCTGCACACCCCGCGTCCCTTTCTTGAAACTGTGAAGTCGCTCGCCTGCGGGTCCTCAGCGAGTCGGTGGCGCAGGCGGGATTCGAACTCGGACTGAGGTGGCCCGCCTCTCCGGGCGTTCTACCGGGCGTGCAGTGCCGTGCGGCGAACCGAACGCTGGCCCCCGTCGCCGCCGCCTCGCGGCCCCTTGACAGCATCCTCGGGGCGTCTGTCTCCTTGTCGCGTGATACCTCCACTCATTTTATAACGCGGACCCCGGGCCCCGAGGATGGGGAAAGAAACTGTGCCCGAGGTTACCGTGGAAACTAGCGACAGAGCCAACGCCCCAACCTGCTGGCTCTTCTGTCTCCTGACCCAGGTCACTCTCCGCTCCCCACGACCCGCCGGGGGCTTTTTTGAGGACGGCGCTTCCCAAATTTCAGTCTCTCGCGTTACACCTTTCTGTCGTGTACCTTCTGTACTGTTAATTTATTTACCAAATGTTAATTTTTTTTCTTTAAACTGACTCCTTTTTCCTCCTCCTTCTGAAATACATTTGTTTAAGGTGGAAACGTAAATCACAAACCGTATAATGGAAAGCCAGTTATTTTTCTAATGCTCATAAAAAATAAATATCTATCTATTAAACAGTGCGTCCTTGTTCCTCCTGAAGTTACTCTGCGTTCCACGCTTTGGGAAACGCTGCCCTAGGAGTACGGGGTTAATTGTCGTCCTGGCTTTCGCTCCGTGCATAGATTTTTTTTTTCCCTGAGGCATAGCGGATTCCGTGAAATGCTCCAGGATCTTGGGGATGATGATATTACAAGGCTTTTTTCGTTGTAAACTGGTCTCATTATTGACTTACAAGCGCTAGTCCCAGGGACCTGCAGGAACTGTCAGCTCCCGTGCGCCGGTGTGCCTCCTCACTTTTCTGGTAGCATTGTGGCATGGTAACCACCTGACTCTTTCTGCGTATGACCATGGAGCAGTTTTGGTTTTTGACAACTCTAGATTGAATGTTTTCTGTATGAGTCAGTCCGGGTGTGAAAACTCACTTCCATGTTGCCTTTTTCCAACCAGTAAAGCCCAAGCTTTTGCATTGTGGGTATTGGAGATCACTTGGCTACTTACTGTTTCTTCCTATATTCTAGTTTCTTTGCCTTTCTTTTAGCTCGTGTCATGACACGTGTCATCGTGTCATCTTCATTTGAAACCTCTGACATGATTTTTTAACCTAAAACATAGAAACTGTAGTTTTCCTTGTAGAATGTGCTGGAGAAACTGTATTCCAGGGCCCAGTGGAAGGAATTTTTCTAGCTGCAGGTGGTTCAGGCTCACATGCCAGTGAACACCACATATTTCAAGAAGGCATTAGGAGCTCCTTTCTCTGGCTAGATCAGATGCTGCCGATTAATGCATTGTTGAAAAAAGCTAATTAGGTTTTTCAAACAAAGGGAAGCATTGACAGATTAACTTATTTATGTCAACAGTCTGTTCTATTTGTAGTTGGTCCATAAACATTGTGTGTGTGAGAGAGCAGATTTACTTTAATTTATTGAAAGGAAACTCAGAAAAGTCTGCTCAGACCATTCAGGTGTTGTTTCTTCAAAGTCTACTAAAAAGAAAAATCCACATTCCTTGGAGTTACCTTGGTAAGAGCAAAATGTAGAACTTATATAAGGCTAAAGGTGATCAGTCCTGTTTAGAGAAGAAATGAGAATTTTTTACTCAGGTCCGTTTCTAAACTTCAGCACATGGAGGTTCAAGCTATCAGTGCTCAAAAGCTAAGTCCTTTGGAGAAAGGTTTTAGAAGTATGATTAAAAAAAAAAAGGAAGAAGAAAAAGAGTGCCTCATGGTTTGAAACTTCATTCTTAAGTACCATTGCAAGCATTCTATCCCTGTGGCCTGCAGATGGCAGTGCCTTTGTATCGCTTGTTACTACGGTGAGACGTATTGGAATTCATTTGTACTTGTAAGAGAATGAGAAACCTGTGGAGGAAATGTATTTAGTATTTGAATGAGATACCTGTGGAGGAAATGTGTTTAAAATTGTATTCCCTTCAACTATCTTTGTTTCTTTGTTTTTGACTCCCCATATAAAGAATGAAACGTCTATTCCTAAACTATTACTCTTAATGGTAATGATCACATACAACCTTCAGTGCATATGATTTAAAAGTAGGTTTACAGTACCAATTCATTTGCTCCCACTAATCATCTTGTGAGATAGGTAGGCTGATATTACTAAATTTTTTTTGCTTGTGAGGAAATAATGGCTCAGAGAAGTTAGATTTTTTTGCCCAAATCATATACTTAGTAGAACATATTCAGGATACTATTGAAGATAAGATTTTGTGGTCAAGCAAAATTGGGAAATAATGAGATAAAGAGGTGTCCTTATTCCAGAACTTTAATATGCTAAACATATGCACTGTAGATGTCCAAGAGAGGAAGATCTCATTGGTACCGTTGTCTTGCTATCCTCCTATGTACATGTTTAGGTCCTAGTGTTTTCCCAAACTGACTGTTCTTTCTGCCATGCTCTGTTTCCTCTCTTTACCTTGCGGTTTACTAATGATTACCATGTGTTTTGAGACAGGTGGTTTTAAAGCTCAGTCAGCTTTTTTTTTGTGCCAAAAGATTTGTCCTGTGAACAGCATACACATTTGTCTAGACTGTTTGGCTTAAGCAGAGTTGAACTGTCAAGAAGTGAAAAGGGCAGTGACCAACAGAATATTACCCTCTATGCTACTTTCATTAATGAGAAGCGTTAATGAAAGGATCAGGGTAAGGCCACTGTCTGAAGCCGTAGCACATTAGAGAAGTATGAAGTATACTGACAGCTAAATATATAATACCAGCATGCCTGCTGCTTTTTAAATGGTGGTTTTATTACCACCAGACATGAATATTTATAGGGATGGTCATTTTCATTCTTTAGCCTATCACTAAAAAAAAAAAGAAAGAAATAATAGGTCAACTGGACCAAGTGCTTTTTTCTTTTTTTTATTTAAATTCGATTAATTAACATATATTGTACTATTAGTTTCAGAGGTAGAGTTCAGTGGTTCATCAGTTGTGTAAAACACCCAGTGCTCATTATCAATTATTTTTATGTTAAGAAAATTCCCCTCAAAAAATCAGAACTTTTGCACACCATAATACTCTTTTCCTTTTATTTCCTATTCGAAACAACATTGTTGTTGACCTACATAAAGACTGACAACTTTAGGCAAGGATCAGGGCAACTTAAGTTGCATTGGAGAACATTTAGAAAGCAGAATGTCTTATAACTTGAGCTCTATGAAATATCTTGAGTGGTCCCCTGGTTTGGATCTAGAGTGATTGAATTACTGAAGGTTAGGTTGATCCTGCAGTTAGTGAGCAAGCTTTGGAGAACTTTGAATTATGAGTAATTTGGCTTTAAGTGAGTATACCTAATTATCCAGTTGGAGATTGAGATAGTAATAACATGTATTTACCATCAGAGATGATACAGGAAATTTATTTTTAAATGTCTCTTCAGAAATTATTCTTGATATCCAAAAGAAAAAAATAAAAAATATTATTTCGTTCAGTACAAAAACTTAAGATTATAAACTTATTTCAGGACACCATCAGTCACTAGAACAGCTTGTTGAAAATACACATCTGTATTCAGCTTCCCATCCCCCCCAACTCTGGAGTTGGGGGCTGGAGAATCTACCTTTCAGAAGCAAACCCTGCAATTTTTAGGTACATTATGGTTTTGAGACCCCCGGATTTAGGCTTTAGAAAATGAGTTTTCACTAGAAATAGAAGATTGAATCAGATTCTAGTACTAATCTATTCATATCCCAGATTACTAATAGGAATTGGCAACTCTGGTTTATGGTTGGTATACATTTTAAGCAAAACTGTAATTTAACTGTAAAATGTTCTTTGGCTTCATGGTTTGAACTAGAGGTAATAGCAATAGTTAGAATATCTGTAGAGTTTTTAGTATTTTAATTCCTTCCATTTGCATCAGTAGGATGCTTTTACCTCTTGAAAACAAAGAAAGCAGACCTACCAAGATTCCATGGTCTGCTTATTAAATTTAGATTTCCTCCACTTTGCTTTTAGTGGTGTAGATGTGAAATCATATGTGTGACCATTTTTCTCTTCTTGCAAAGAGATGCAT